CAGCACCTGGCGCACCCCGATGCAGACCTTGTGATTCTGAGGAGCATCACAGCTGCTTGGGTCAGAATGCACAAAGTGGACTCATGCTTCTCTACAAAATACTGCATACCCAATCCACCAGTGACTTCCAGCTATTATTCCTATAATTTCTACAATATGCAAACTGCAACAGAATCAGCACAGAATCACTGCAACTTGCCTTCTAAAGTAAGCCTAGTCAGCACTAGGAAATTTCTGCAACTTGCCTTCTAAAGTAAGCCTAGTATAAATTAGGGCATGATTCAAGGACTCCAGGCTTACTGAAGAACTACACACACAGGACCACACTTCAGTCACTGAATTGTGTTTTCTTCATCATGACAACTGCTGAAAATATGCTTGTTGAAAGAGAGAAAATTCATCATAAAGAGTCAAATATTTTCTTTGTAATGGATTGCCACATCGCAGGCGTAGTTTCCTTTTACCAGAACAGCCTGCATAAATATATTTTAAACTGATTACCTTTAGGTGGAAAATATGACTTGCTTTCAGCTTTGTGAGGCCAGTCCACCACAAGAGGTCCAAACCTACGAAAGCTGGCAGTGATCTCATCTACAAAAAACAAATGAGGCACTTTAAGAGATAATCTGAAGACTGACAATGGCAAGGTAAAAATTCTTACTTTAAAAAAAAAACCAACAGACTATTTTCTACACCTATTAAGAACAGTGAAAACTGCAATAATGTACATAGAGGATGCCTAAATATTCTTTCACCTCTATGCTATACATGGCTGCTTAAAAAAGTAATTTTATATTGTACTAATGCAACTTTGCAGCAGGATTAAATGCAAACTTGATCTATCAGAAGTGAATATGCTTCAGCTGCGGTCTTTCTAATTATAGCCACAAAGCAGGGTCAGATGCAGCCACATGGGACTGACGGAAGAGCTACATGTCAGCATGGCCACTCCTTGTAGCATGCCCTAGAAAGCAGGCAGCATCAGGTCATGCGACTGTGGGGATTTCACCTTCCTCAGACCCCTCTGGAAATTTGCCTTGAATTACCGAGTTATTTCTTTGCTTTTTAAGCATCAATTTAGAAACTCCATGGAACACACATCTCAAACTATCCTCTAGGACAATTTTGTTTTATGTGCAAATGCTTCAGAAAAAAGTATTTTAAGTTATTTTTAAAAAAAATCTTTTTTCTCGATGCATTTATTTATGTACTTTAAAGAAAGAAGTATTTTAAAATTGTGTCTAATGTGATGCTAGATAGATCAGAGCAACAATCCATCAGGAGAAAAGTTTGAAGAGAAAGGCAGTGGTTTTCCAATTTTCTGATTGCTGTTTGAGATGTGTCCAGTTTATCTGACCCCATGCGCTGCACATCCGATTTTTCAAGCAACTAGAGCCACAAAACACATATCGCATAACTCAGGAGCTGAAGGAAAATGGTGTTACTGGAGTAGACCTCTCATGGAAGAGGGTAACAGCTCCCAAGTAGCCATGTTACTTCCTCGCAGGATAGGCTGGGCATATATTTTGATTCTGAGTGACCCAGCAACATTCACATCAGATGTACCTGTTGGCCTGCTTCTTCTTACAGCTGGGGATTCAGATTACCCAGCAGTCCCTGTATAAACAGTCCTGCAATTCATGATGTGACATGGGAACTGCATTTGAGCTGTTTGTAAACCACAGATTGGCAACTCATACTATTTCTTTATTAAAACTGCACGTGGTTTAGGCTTCAATTCAGATAATCAGATTTGGAGATCCCTCTCTTTTCATTATAAGGCATCCTCAAATTCCCTATGTATGCCAATTGAAGCTAGATAGTAGTGGATTCCAGCTATAATATGAAAAATACACCAAAAACTGTCACAATTTTGGTTTGGGAGTCGGGGTGTGTGGGGGCACACGCACGTAGAGCAGATACTGATTGAGATTGAGGAAAAAACTGACCATCCCTACTAAGCTGATTATTATTTTGTAACCATATTAATTGCCCTACATTTGTCAACTGAACACTGCATGTACGCTGGATACAACAGCTGATTAATTAAAGCCCTATTTATTTTGGTAAGGACTGCATTAACAAAGTCCTTCAAGTCAACCACATCTTTTAAAAAGAACAGGGAAAGACTATGGAGGAGTGACAGTACCCACTAAGTTCGCTTTTTCAGCTTTCCCACTTTACATACATGGGAACACATGCTGCTATTGCAGATTAGAAGACCTGCTATGCAGGCATTTCTGTCTCCATCTCTTCTATCTACAGTACAAAAGAATGTCAAGTAAATTCTCAGGTGTTGCGGGGGATGGTGGTGTTTGTTTGTTTTAAATAATGCCACAAGCTCTACAAGCGACATACCTGGGAAAATACATTTGTTTTTATGAAAATCTGACCTTTTAAAAGTAATTATATGAAAGCCAATTCCCACATCTCACCAATGTAAATTAGTCACAGTACCTTCATCAATGTCAGGAGGAAGACCTCCAACAAACACCTTTCTAGAATAGCGTTCCACTCTTTCACCATTCTGACAGCGTGTTGGAGAGCTGAGACCCGATGATAAAGACTGATCACCATGACTGTCGTCTAGGAAGCCATCTTCAAAAGGAAAGAAAGAGTGAGACCTGTAACAGATTTTGTAGTATCTATAGTTAACGCTATTTCCTGGAGAATTAAATATTTCAGTAAAAAACATTGTATTTTCCTTTTACTGTTTAGCTTTAACAGAATTTGCATTAAAGGGCCCAGCTAAGTGGTCCAGTTATCCAAATGATGTTCATTAGTATTGCTTCTATTTTTCCAAGATTGTATTATCCTTACAAGACAATAAACCTAATTGTAGTATCTATAGTTAACGCTATTTCCTGGAGAATTAAATATTTCAGTAAAAAACATTGTATTTTCCTTTTACTGTTTAGCTTTAACAGAATTTGCATTAAAGGGCCCAGCTAAGTGGTCCAGTTATCCAAATGATGTTCATTAGTATTGCTTCTATTTTTCCAAGATTGTATTATCCTTACAAGACAATAAACCTAATTTGGCTTTAAAGCAAACCCTTGCAAATGGCTAGCAATGAAAAACCAACAAGTTATCGGATGAAATTGTGTGTCATAGCTATAGAAAGAACCTTTGTAAGATTTACATTTCAAACCGATTCTTAGAGATCTAAATCTTCCATGACAGATCTTGAAGGAATGCTCTTAAAGAGCAGATCCCTCAAGCCATTGCACTGCAGAGCAGGACAGTTTCCTTCAGAGTGCTTTACAGGATCCTAACCACAAGGGTTGCATCACTTCCTCCTCAAGTCAACAGAGGCCCAGTCTGAGTAGGAGGGCAAATCGCAAAATAAACATAGAAAAGGCTTTGTATTGTGGATATTAAACACAATAGGTAGGTTAAGCAAGAAGCTTAGCTAATAAGAAAAAAAACATCTTTAAAATCTTATTAAATAAAGCACAAAAAACTTGCACTTGAAGAAAAAAGTTGTTAGCTAGGACAGCCTGTCAAGCTGTTACTCAGTGTTAAAACACTC